TGGTGGCGTTGCTCCCGGACTAGGACATTTAGTATCGGTTTTAGCTAGATACCGTATGAATCCATAGCACTGAAAGAATGTTGGATTCTTTGATCCTATATTTATTGTGGGAGAAATATAAAGGGCGCGTGGTTCATTTTTGGGCCTTCGAAGGAACCAGCGTTGGTTATATCCGCGCATAAATCCAACGGGATCTTCAAGAAAGTCTTCACTTCGACTGCTAAGAAGAACTTGCCAAATCGCTTATAGATAAAATCAGGGTCTCCAATAACGTCACCCTCCTTCGAAATCCGCTTATTGGCTGTTGTGAAGTTATTACAATATGGAGGTTATCTAATATATTATCTTTTAACTCTCCTCCGACAACTAATTCATTTGATATATCATAACATTTATTATAATTCTTTGTCGCGGATATCGTCTAACGCTGTCATCGAATTGATATTGACTTAAAGATGATCAATGGTCCGTCTAAGCCGGTTCTGGTCCTTGGAAGACGGACCGTGATCCCGGAGCAGCTTATATAGTATTCGGTTCTTTCTGTAGACGATCACGGTAAGCTTGTCTCATTTCTTCATTTCTTTTATTCCTCCGTTTCGTTCGTTTCGTTTCTTAAAAAAAATTCTAACATGTATCCACTATTTCTTTTTAGTAGGTTCGTCTCTTTCGGCTCTGGTTCAACAGGCGATTAGGTAAATTGGCTTCCTAGCATAATTACATAATTCTGTTGATCGGGTCTTTTGAAAACTGCGGTCCTAAAAAAGACTACCGGTCTTATTGGTCTATAACTGTCCGGTCTTTTTGCTAGATGAGCCAGAAGCGATGGCTATTCTTCCAGAATTCGTGCAGTTGTATCTTTTGATTTTCGCTCAACAATCGAACTCATATGAGAATTAACTCAACTTCTGAAGGCTGTTCATTTGGTGAAATTACTTGTTCATTTTCGATTTTACTGGTTGTTCAAGCGAAGTTTTCATCGGAAGTTCGCGTTTTGGATGAGAAACTTGTTGAGTAGACCTCATATTTTCATAGCTGCGTCTGAAGGTAGAGGCTATAGATAAACTGTACTGTACGAATATAACTGTAACCAGTACAGTTTATATGTATACTCCTGAAGGTAGTTGTTTTAGAAATGTTTGCAAGGATTACAGTACAGTTTTATATGTATACTCCTGAAGGTAGTTGTTTTAGAGATATTTGCAAGCATTATAATGACAGGAATAACAGGTACAGAAAAAAACGACGCGTATGGGGATCTTAAATATAAAAAATTCCAAATTTGGTTACACATAGTGCAGATCAAATTCTTTTTCGAACATTCCCGTTAACATGGAAAATTTGATTATGTATTTCAGAAAGTAACATCTTATTAATAAGCTTTAAAAGCTTAATGCTCCGGCCAATTATCAAATGGGGAATATATTTTCTACCTCTGCGAGAATGGGTACAAGTGATAATAAAGAATTTTTCATAGAAAGATTTACTTTATAAAAAAATTAAATGATGACTATCATTGGTATAATCAGAGATTTTAGTTATTACTATATACAAATTATAGATTTAACTGATATTGTAATAATAATAATATATACCTTTTTTTCTTATAAATTTAGGTAAATAGTAATATTTTACTTTATCACTGATCAGATCTCATATAATATGAATTTTTCTTTCATATAAAAAGATAGAATAATTTAAAGTATCCTCATTCTAAACTTTTAGTTCAGGCTATTTAAAATAAACCCTTAGGTCTAGGCAAATTTATCTAAACCTCTTTTTTTTTTAATAAAATAAGTTAATTACTAAAATTGAAGAGGATTCTAACATTTTAATTATTTGTCAAAAAAATATTATTCTTGTGTTTTCTTTAAAAAAATACATAAAGAAAATTACTTTCAAAATAAAAGAAAACATTTTTTATTTTATAACCTTATAATTTTACAATTTATTTATAATAGATTCTTTAAATAATATTAATTTTAAATAAAATTTATTAAATTTTTATTATTTAAAAATGCATATAATTTTATAAAATCTTGATGGAATTTAATACTTTAAAATAGTTTATATTTGTTAAACAATTTTACTTATTCTTTTACATTAATTTGTTTATTAAGGTATTAAAAATTATACTATAAATTAAAAATAAAAATACACAACATAATGAATTTTATATAAAAATAATAATATCTTATAAGTATTTAAATTAAAACTCTGAACGGTTTGGTTTAGTCTAGATTAGATACCAATCCATATCCAAACTGAAAATTTTGGTTCAGTTTAGTTCAGATTATTAATTTTAAAAATGCTAATCTGAATCCAAACTGAATCACAAACTAGTAAAAATCTAAACTGAACTGGAATTTTCAGATTAATTTGAAATTATAGTTCAATTATATAAGAAATCCGCAATTTATATGCAAAACTCTAGAAGAATCGCAAAAAATCGTGAATTTCTCTTTGAGATTCACAAAATTTAAAGAGAAATCACAATTTTTTGTGACTCTCCAAAAATTTTGCAATATTTTTTGCAAAATACTAAGAGAAATCGCAAAAATTGCAATTCTTCAAGGGTTTTGCAATTTTTTGCGAAATTTGAAAAGAAATTACAATTTTTTGTGACTCTTTAAGAGTTTCACAATAATTTTGCAAAATTTTAAGAAAAACCGCAAAAAATTGTAATTCTCTAAGAGTTTTGCATATAATTGAACTGAACTTTCAGACTAATCTGAAATTATCAGTTCAGTTCAGATTTTTTTCAGTTCAGATTAGAATTATAATTCAAAAAAATTCAAACTGAACCAAAAATTTTTAGATCAATTTTTATGCAATCTGAAACTGATTTAAATTGACTGATCTAAAAATCTTCAGATTAATCTAAACTGTTCAGAACTTTAATTTAAATTAGTTTGATAAAACTTAATATTTGAGTACTTTCATATCCGCTGAACAGTTTACTCAAACAAATAAAGTTAAATTAGTTTAATCCAAGTATAAAAAATTATATAATAAATATTTGAGTAAAAATATAAAAATAAATATAACTTTATAAATATTAATGATATCTTAATGAAATTTTATATTTGAGTAGATAAATATCTGTTAAATAACTTTACTTATACTTTATTTACTTATTTAATTTGACTAAAGTATTAAAATTATTCTATTAAGTTAATAAACATATATATAATACAATAATATTATGTAAAAATATTTATATTTTTATAAATATTAATAATAACTTTGATAAAATTAATATCTAAATACTTTTATATCTGTTAAATAATTTTATTCATTTTGTTAATTTTGTTTGACTAAAATGCTAAAATTATATTATAAAATTAAAAACTCTTATATATAGTATAATACAGTTTTTAAAATTTTATAAAATGAAAATATTAATAAGTAAAAATTATAAAGAAATCAAAAAAAAGTAAAAGAAAAAAAGAGAAAAAAATAAAAAAAAAAGTAAGCAAAACAAAAAAAAAAAGTATAAATATTGCATAGATATAAAAAATTATTAAATTAGGCAATAAGTTTAGATTAATTAATCTGAATTTCAAAGGTCTAGAATAAGCAATCTGAACTCTCAATTTAGGTTAAGTTTTCTCAATAATTTAACAAGCAATCATTTAAATAATAGGTAATCTGTTTATAAAATATGCTAAAGATTAATTTATTAAAAATAGTTATTGATTATATTAATAAATTATGTTTTTATATTTTAAAACATTTTTTAATTTTAAATATTTTGAACAGATTTTAAATATAAGAAAATATTTTCAAAATTGTCAATTAATATATATTTAATAAATTAGTAATTATTTTTACTTAATAATAATCATTAAATAATACTTATTTATTTTAAAAAAAATATTATAAATTATATATATAAGTTTTACGTCTAATATTATACAAAATTTTGATTATATATATTTATATCAATATTATATTAAATTGGTTCATATATAATATTTGAGAAAAGTAATTAAAAAAAACCTATATAATAAAATATAATTTTTTCTTATATTATTAAGTTAATAAAATTAAAATTTTATGTAATAATATAATAATTATAATAATAAATAATCAATATATAAATTTTTTGTAATAGAAAATAAGGAAACTATTTTCAAAAAAATTTTTTTAGGTTAACATTAAATCTGAACTTATTTTATTAAAAAATAATATTTAACTTATAAAGTAAAAATTTTTTTTATAGTTTTCTTTCTTTCTATTATAAAAGAATCTATATAAATATTTATTTAGATTTAACTTTAAATTTTCTTACAGTAACTATAATAAAGGTTACACTTAAATAACATTATATAATTATAAGTATTTTATAGAATAAGGATAGTAATATTTATTTCATAATATTTTAGAAGGTAAAAAAGTAATTAAAAAAATTTAGTATATGATGTAATATAAGATTAGTATATATAGTATAATGTAAAATTATTATAAAATAAAGGGTAAGAGAGTATAAGTGTATAGTAAATAAATATTATATAATAAATATTATTATTTAAATAATATTTTTGATATTAAAATTTTATATGAATTAACTTTTATCCTATATCTATTATATATAATTATATTCAAAACTTAAAAATAGTAATACTTTAAATCTTTAGCAAATAAATTTTTAATATATGTTAAACTTACAAATATTTTAAATAAAAATTACATTAATCTTAATATAATTAACTGAACTATACTTAATAAACTTAATAATCTTAATTATTTAATACTATTTTAAAATTTATACTTTTATTAATAGATATTAGAAGTAGTATAAAATAAAGTTTACTATAAAATATAGAAGATAAAATTAGAATAAGATTATTTTTTTTGATGAAATCATATTTTAGATATTTTAAAATATTTAAAAAAAGCTTTTATAATAACCTTTACACAAACCTATGCTAAAACATTTATACAAAGATTATACATAAAATACTTTTTTAATAAATATCTAATTAGCTTTTTTCTTTTATAAAAATAATTTAATAAAAATTTTTATTATAAAATTTTGACTAAAACTTATTTGAAATACATATTCTATAATAAAAGTTTTAGGTATTTTAATAGAATAATAATTCTAAATATATTAGCCAAAAAAATCAAAAAACTTATTTTTGAAAGTTATTTAAGATTATTAGACTAATCATCAAATAGTTTAGGTTTTAATTCTATTAAAAATTTTTAGATGATTTTGTAGAAAAATAGGTTAATAAGCTAATCCTTAAAAAAATTAGTTACTATAAATACTTTTTATGAAATAATCTAAAAGAAATAAAAAGGAATTGATTCAAAAATCTTTCTTAATTTACTTCATAAAATGAAATTAAAGTTAAAACTGATAATTGAGATTAATTAAAGATAGCGTTATAATTAGTTCTAATTATGTGATACTTATTTATCACTAGTTGTAACTAGTTGCAACTCAATTTTTATTAATATTGCAATTAGTTGCAACCTTATGATGCTTATTTTTCACTAATTATAATTAATTACAATATCATTTTTAAGATTAATAGTAATAAGATATCTAATTGATTATTCTTAAGTAAACTTATTTATAAGTTATAAAAAATATGTATATAAATTTATATATTTATGATATTTATTTACATTTTAATTAATAAAAATATAATTCTGATTACTCTTTTAATCACTGTATATGTTAAAATAATAATATATATAAAAAAAATACTTAACATTATCTTTAATTTTTTAAAAGTATTAATATTTATAAATAATAATATATAAATAAACTAATAGTCTAATTAATTAATTAATTATTTGATTTATAAAGAATTTAAATTTTTATATAGAAGCAGTTAATAGAAAAGGAAAAATCTATAAATTTTGAGTAATTTTAGTTATTAAGCTAATTTTATTTATATAATCATAATCAGCAAAGTGAATTAATAAAAAAGGTTGACATTAAACGATGACTGGGATTAACATATTTTTGTATTTGTATCAACAAAACCGATCCTGGAGCTAATGGTCACGGTCATGACCGGTTATGACCGTGACCGATATCGGT